GCTGACGTTTTGGGTTGGGATCCATCTTCAGAAATGGTCCAGACCTGAAACGTCAGCTTTCCTGCTCCTCTGATGCTGCCTGGCCTGCTGTGTTCCTCCACCTCCACACTGTGTTATCTCTTAGATTTGCACATGTGTCCTAGAGCTGCCACTTTACCCCCACAGGAGGTATAGCACACTAGTTTGCCACCCTCCCCCATCAGATACAGTACACTAGTTTGTACCTTCAGGGGATGTAGAACACCACTTAGCCCTGCACCACATCATTACAGCTCTAGATAACACATTGAAAGCACTTTTGGGTGAGACAGCCAGAAAATGGGTAGCAAGAAAGTGAGAGACACTGGTCAAAATGCTTGCATCTGAAGTGCAGGTTTTCCTCAGGTCTTCCCAGGGACTTTGAAAAGAGGAAAAGACAGAGCTTTAAAGCCACTTCACTTGTTGCCAGGGTATTGCAAGAACAAAAATGGATCAATTGCTGCGGCTGAGGAACTGCAAAGGAATTCAGTCCACACTGTTGAGAGAAAACCACCCTCAGTGTTTTACACTCCCATACAAGTCAGCCCAGCCCAGGGCTTCAACTTGATCCTTGTGTTGCGGTGAGGTTATTCCAGGGTAACAACCCAGTGACAACCATCATATGTCCCAGCAGGTCTGGCAGCATCTGTGAAGAAAAAAATCAGAGTTAACATTTCGGGTCCGGTGACCCTTCCTCAGAACGGTTCTGAGCTCTGAGGAAGAGTCACTGGTCCCAAAACGTTAACTCTGATTTATTCTTCACAGATGCTGCCAGACCTGCTGAGCTTTTCCAGCAACTTCTGTTTTTGTTCCTGATTTACAGTATCCACAGTTCTTTCAGTTTTTATCATATATTCTAAATAAGGATGATGTTTAACATGGAAATGGCTTTGGGGTGATGATGTTCCCATGAGCATTAAGAAGTATTCATTATTTTATACTTATTATTTATTTAAATAAGGTATATTATTATAATGAAGTATTTATGATTTTGGGGTGGCACGGTGGCTCAGTGGTTAGCACTACTGCTTCACAGCACCAGGGACCCAAGTTCAATTCCACCCTTGGGCAACTGTCTATGAGGAATTTGCACGTTCTCCCCGTGTCTGTGTGGGTTTCCTCCGGGTGCTCTGGTTTCCTCCCACAGTCCAAAGATGTGCAGGTTAGGTGGCTTGGCCATGGGAAATTGCCCATAGTGTCCAGGGATGTGCAGGCTGGGTGGGTTAGCCATGGTAAAAGCAGGGTCATGGGGTGGGGTGGGGGTGTGCTAGGTCTAGGTGGGATGCCCTTCAGAGGGCAGACTTGATGGGCCAAATGGCTTCTTTCCGCACCGTAAGGATTCTATGATTATTAAAAATCACAGGACTGAAAAAAACATTGGTGTTTACATAAACTAATTCTTTGGATGAAATGTGTCACTACAGGGGCATATTTACCAGCCATTGCCAGTTGTGGTTGAGAAGTTGGTGATAAGAGAGTTTCCTTCTTACACCACACTGCAGCCCATGTCATAAAAACACTCCCACACTACTGCCAGAGAGCTCTGGGATTTAGATACTTGGTTAACAGCAGCAACCACATGGCCTGAGAACCATGTGACATAACTCGTCAGACCCACATTTTACTTGATACCGAATGTCTATCTTTTAGGTTCCACCGTAAATTCCATGTCATTGAATCTCTACAACAGGCCCTTAGGCTGGCTGCAGTGTAAAGAGTGTCCCAAGTGTTTTTTTTAACAGGAAAAGGCAAAGTCCCACATTTCGCCTCATTGCTCTACCTTCTTCATTTTCATTCAGATCGTGGAACAGTGCAGAAAGTGATCGTGTTACCCAAAGATGACATGGAGACTGAGGAGCTCATTCTCGAAGAAGTCGAAGTCTTCAAGGTCAGTGCTAGCCTCTTTAATCCGGTCACATTTAATAGTAAATCTGCAATTTTAAAAATGGCAAAAAAGTTATTTGGGGCTATTGGTCTCTTTGTTTGCCAAGCCTTTGAAATCAACTTAAAATCGTAGGATCACAGAAGATTAGCAGCACAATGTGAGGCCATCATGTCACTGCTGGTTCTTTCCTAAAGCAACCCAGAACCAACCCCATCCCATCTCCGCACTGGCTTACATTTTTGCCTGCTTTTAAATGTTTATCCTGTGGCTCCTCCCTTGACAGGAACAATGAGTTGTGCCTCAACTCTTCTCAGAGGCAATGTATTCATTGTGCTACAAACCAGATTTTAAAACAATACCTCAAGGTGACACAGTGGTTAACACTGTTGCCTCATAGTACCAGGGTCCCGAGTTCAATTGTAGCCTTGGGTGACTGTGTCTGTGTGGAGTTTGCATGCTATCCCCCTATCTGCATAGGTTTCTTCCAGTTGCTCTGGTTTCCTCCCACAGTCCAAAGATGTGCAGGTTAGGTGGATTGGCCATGCTAAATTGCCCACAGTGTCCAGGGATATGCAGGCTAGTCATGGTAAAAATCCCATATGCGGTTACCGCGTGAGGCTGGACGGGATGTTCTTCAGAGGGTTAGAGGGACTTGATGGGCTGAATGTCCTCATGCTGCACTATAGTGATTTGATGAACCTGATAGTTTGTGCTTTGTGATATTAAGGCAGACACAGATCTACACTACCCCTCTGCAAAACATTAGTCCTGATTCAATACTAAATGTTTTTCCTTCTTTTAAAAATGTTTCCTTTCAATAACTTAATAAAGAGAACATTTGACAACCATTTCCGATCCCTCAAGAACACAGCGAATCTCTCAGCTACTTTCTTCCACTTTCTTGTAAGCCCCTGTCAAGTTATAGTCCTGGTTTTCAGACAGCTGGATTATGTCAACCCCAAAGGATTCTTTGCCCCTCTTCCAATTCCACTTGACACTTCCTCATCAGAGGCCAGGCAGAAGAATGGGTAAATCAAGGAGCAGTTCTTAAGGAACATAATACATTAGGCTAGTTGTCCTTCTATAGGCAGGGCAGGAATCATGCCAGTTTTTAAAGATAAAAATGCCATTCATAAACCAAGGCATTTGTGCATCTTTTTGTGACTCCTAAACAGAAATTGCCAGAAAAGCTCAGCAGGCCTGGCAGTATCTATGGAGAGACATCAGAGTTAACGTTTGGGGTCAAGTGACCTTTCCTCAGTTCTTAATCCGAAATGCTAACTCTGATTTCTCTCCATAGATGCTGCCAGACCCGCTGAGCTTTTCCAGCAATTTCTGTTTTTGTTTCTGATTTACAGCATCCGCAGTTCTTTTGGATTTTCTTTGTGGATCCCATAGTGTGCGTTGACAAGTTCGAACATTTAATTTTTCAGATGCCAACAGAAGTAAAGACGATGAAGATCTCGTCCAAAAGGGTAACACTGCTTGGCTACTTGACTGACCGATTGTAATCGTGTTTAAAGTTTAAACAAAAATTTCAGTTGGGCTCATTAGTTTCATTGTTCAAATTTAGAAACGAAGACCTAAAGCTTCCTCTCTGATCTTCAAATTAATATTGCCTTCTCCATTTCTGCACCAACCGGTCCACTTCTGAATTCAAGGATTGAATATCTTCCTGTTTTATTAACTTAGTTTCCTACTTTCTTTTCCATCATGGTGTTGACCGTTTACCCGAATAAGTGAGTGAGAAAACAATCTGATCACGGACCTGTTCCACTGCCACTGTTTTAATGAAGCCTGCTTGATTTCTTCTCATTCCCTGATCTGAAACCATATGAACCCTAGTTTAAAAATTCTGTAGATGATATAGAATCTAATGGGTGCCCAATGCTATCTATGAAATAGCATTTTACAAATCTGATTACTTTTTGACTTGTTAGATATATGTTCGTATTCAGTGCCTTCTTGTTGTGGTTTCCAATGAATGATTTAATGGCAGATTTATGAACTGCCTGTCACTCACGTAGACCACTCCTAACCCTACTCCACAGTGGTGACTGTCCTAAGTCCACAGTCTTAATGTTTGTTTTTTGTGTTTTTAATAGCAACAGCTGTATGTTGGTTCTACCTTGGGCATTACACAAATTGCTCTCCATCGCTGTGATGTTTATGGAGAGGTCTGTGCTGATTGCTGCCTTGCCAGAGATCCATACTGTGCTTGGGATGGTAAAGCCTGCTCCAGATATTTAGCATCATCCAAAAGGTAAATAATCGGTTGATGCTAAGTGAACCGTTCGCTTGCTTGCTGTGCCCCTCATTGACAGCTCAGCATCAGTTCCTGTATACTGAAACACAAATGGGCAACAATTCATTAATCCACCTCCATCTGGTTCTGTGTGTGTTGTCTGCCTATCCTGTGTCACTTTATGGATGCAATATTCACTTACTTAGACTTTTCGGATTGCTCCGACTCTGCCAGATATTGCGAAAAATGTCCGTGTCCTGGAGCTGTACCAAACATTAAAGCACATGGGATTGGGGAAGTGTATTGAGATGGATAGAAAACTGGTTGGCAGAGAGGAAACAAACAGCTGGAATTAATGGGTCCTTTTCAAATTGGCAGGCAGTAACTAGTGAGTTACCACAGGGATTGGTGCTGGGACCCCAGCTATTCACAATATATATAAATGATTTGGATGAGGGAACAAAATGTAACATCTCAAAGTTTGCAGATGATACCAAGTTGGGTGGGAGGGTGAACTGTGATGAGGATGCAGAGATCCTTCAGCATGATCTGGACAGATTGGGTAAGTGGGAAAATCATTGGCAGATGCAGTGTAATTTGGATAAATGTGAGGTTATTCACTTTGGAAGCAAAACCAAGAGTGCAGATTACTACCTGAATGGCTATAAATTGGGAGAGGGGAGTGTGCAGCGGGACCTGGGTGTCCTCGTGCACCAGTTGCTGAAGGTAAGCATGCAGGTGCCGCAGGCGGTAAAGAAAGCAAATGGTATGTTGGCCTTCATTGCGAGAGGTTGAGTACAGGAGCAGGGATGTGTTGTTGCGGTTATACAGGGCCTTGGCAAGGCCACACCTGGAATATTGTGTGAAGTTTTGGTCTCCTTTTCTGAGGAAGAATGCTCTTGCTCCTAAGGGAGTAGAGCGAAGGTTTACCAGGCTGATTCTGGGAAGGCGGGTCTGACATATGAGGAGAGATTGACTAGGTTAGGATTGTTTTCACTGGAGTTCGGAAGAATGAGAAGGGATCTCATAGAGGCTTATAAAATTCTAACAGGACTAGACAGGATAGATGCAGGGAGGATGTTTCCGACGTTGGGTAAGTCCAAAACCAAGGGTCACAGTATGAGGATTTGTGGTAGACGATTTAGGACGGAGATGAGGAGACATTTCTGCACCCAAAGTGAACATTTGGAATTCATTACCACAGGAAGTAGTTGATGCCAAAACATTGAATGTATTCAAGAAGCGACTAGATATAGCACTTGGGGTGAATGGGATCAAAGGTTATGGGGAGAAAGCAGGATTAGGCTGTAGAGTTGGACGATCAGCCATGATCAAGAAGAATGGCAGAGCAGGCTCAATGGGCCGAATGGCCTCCTCCGGCTCCTATCTTCTATGTTTCTATGTTTTATACAGATAGTTCAATAATTCCTTTTCTTGCATCATTGACTCCTTCTGCCCCGTAATCGTAGTTACTTTCTTGAAACTTACTATGTATAACTTCTTAAAATTCAGACTTGACACTGAGTATCTTAAACCAAGATTTCTGTTGGCTTGATGCTGGAGTTGATATTCGCCTAAGATTTAACTCCATCTCTCTTATTAGTTAAATCCTCACACCTACACCTCCCAATCTCTCTGGTTTCCTGCACAATGGCATTTGCTGCTCTAGGCTTCTCGATATATTGAGTACTTTCCACACCCATTATGGCAAGTTAAGAGCAGAAGACCGAGGTGGTCACATGGCCTCATGGAAAAGATGTCTGGGTTTGGAGTTGATCAAAGTGCCATCAGAAGATTACAGGTTCAAGTCCTCCTGTTATCTGCAGATCAATCTGTTTGAGGTCTCTGTGCTACAGTGGTAGTTCCTCTACCTTTGAGCTAGGAGATCCAGGTTCAAGTCCCAACTGCTCTAGAGGTAACATCTCTGAATAGGTTGATTACAAAATGTAAGCTGTAAAATTGAAAATGTAAGGGGAGAAGAAACTATGCTACTGATGGAGAGAGAGTTTCAAATTGTTTAAAAGCTCTGGTAAGGACAGGACGTTGTGAACTAATGCCCTTTATTTTGTGTGTCGCTGATCCCAGGTGTGTCCTGTGCACCATGTTGAATTTTGCATGCAATGTAATCTATCTAGGATATAATTGCAAGGTAACGCAGAAAGTCTACACTCTGTTGTAATAGGAAATTTACACACAGTGAGTTTCCTCAAACACAAATTGATGAATGACCAAATAATCAGTTTTAGTGATGTTGAGTGAGGGATAAATATTGGCCAGGATACTAAGGAGAACCCCTCTTCTCTTCTTTAAAGCTATCCCATGGGATCTTTACACCCACCTGAGAGAAAAAGTTTAATGTTGTCTCCAAAAGACAGCACCTCCAACAGTATATAACCCGTCTGTGTTAGACTGAAGTGTCAACCTGGATCATGTGTTAAAAGTCCCCAGGGTGGAACTTGAACCTGTAAATTTCCTGACTCAGAGGCAAGAACAGAGCCAGTGCTGAGACACTGGCAATTCTGCAAGGCCTTATATCACTGTTGGGCCGTCATTAGATGGTGCATGTCAGAGCACAATTAAAGCCTTGTTTGTGATTTTCAATCCATTAGTCAGTGCAATAATCTCAGGCACCGAACCTACAAGTTTCAGATTTGTGCAGGACAGACTGGGTCTTCTCAGAAATCCAACCATCTTCAGCTGCCTCACCTAATACCCTTCTGTCTTCTAGAAGAGTCAGAAGTGGGGATGTAATTTGATGATAGCACAATGTTCAGTCCCATCCACTATTCCTCAGTCAGGTTGCCAATCAGAGTCATTGGCCTTTCCTGCACGCAGCAAGACCTGGGCAGCATTCAGGCTTAGGCTGATCAATGCTAAGTGGCTAAGAGGTCCAATAACACTCAAGCAGATCAATATCATTCCACACAAAACAGTCGGTTTGATTGGCACCAAATCCATATCCATCAGCATTCATTCCTCGGGCCAGTGGCAGCAGAGCGTACCGTCTACAAGATGCACTGCTACAGCTCAGCAAGGTTTCTTCAACAGCACCTTCCAAACTCACAATGAAAATAAGAACATCGGACACAGTCATCTGCAAGCTCCCCTCCAAGTCACACACACTAGCAGCTACTCCACTGTTCCTTCAATGTGGCTAAGTCAAAATCCTGGATCTCCATTGCTGACAGCACTGAGGGTGTTACTAGACCCCCCAAGGACTGCACTGGTTCAAGAAGACTTTCAATAACCACCTTCAGGACTGGTAATAAATGCTGGCCTGTCTAGCCATAGCACACCCTGTGAACAGAGAAGAGAACGGATTTCTGAGGGACCCCACCATCAGTCCCAGATAATGCAAAACTTACATTCAGAAGAAATTTCTTTAGCATGGAGAATTAAATATGGATGAAAAGTAAATGCAACTGCAGTCAATTGATACTTAATGAAAGTACAAGACAGATGCAAAAATTGGATTGTAGTTAATTGGCCAACTGTAATGAAGCATTTTGTTTCCTGTGTCTCTGGGGTAGTCGAAAAGTGATCTAAGGAAAGCAACTAGCTAGAATTTGTTCCTCAAATCTTTAGAGAAATATCATCTACACAAGATCCTGCAAATACAATGGTAAGATAGGTGGTCAAGTTTCAGGGTCTTCTCTCAGGCCATCATGCCCAGTATCGAGGTATTAGTTGCGGTCAATCCATATGCCTGACACCAGACTTCCCAAACAAGCTCGCTACTCCAAGTTTCATCACAGAAAGTGGTTACTGGGAGGATGGAGAAAATGCTTCAAGGGCATCCTCAAAACCTCCCTGACAAACGCAATGTCCTTATCGACATTTGGGGATCTTTTTCCCAGGAACTATCCAACCTGGAGAAGGTGTACCTGCAAAGGTGACAACCACCTCCAGCATCACTAACAAGCCCAGGTGGAGACCAAGCACAAACATCGAAAGAATCAAGGGGAAACCACTCTCCCTTTCCAACACCACCTGCCCCATCAACAGCAGAATGTGTGGATCCAGCACGGGACTGTTTAGTCACGTTAGGAACCCACAACTTCAGACTGGAAGAAAGTCACTCTTGGTCTTGAGGGACAGCCGGAAAAAGAAGAACAAGATTTTTCTTCCAATGACATCATTTGTTATTGGGGTTTTTGACTAGGGTTTTTCACACTGAACTGTCTCACATGTCAAGTTGCTGTGGGAATGCCATGGCTGTTAATTATCTACACATTCTGCCACAGTACTACCCAATAAACAACAATGAGATGATTCTTTCACTTCTCTTGACAGAGGTTGCAATTTACAACAAATAGCTCTGGTTTGGGAATTTGCAGAAAAACTCGGCATTACTTTGCCTCCAGAAAGTAGTAATTTGGGATCAGAACATGACAGGAGTGGAGCATTCCTAGATTCTGGAAGGACGCAGTAGAATTTTTTTCTTTGATCCTATGTTTTCTTTGTACCTGGTAACAGACCATTAATGAGATACCAATAACCCAGGTCCACATTACAGCTATAAATAAATTAATATATATCTGTAATAAAAATTGGATCTCCATGTGTTGATACCACAGGGACATAATATCATCATCAGGCAATTGATTGGTCTGGACTTTAAAAGCAGTGATGAAAGTATTTATTAAAATTCATTCAGAATTCTTATCAATTTGATATGTCATGGCCAGCAGTGAGATACAATGTACACTTCAATTCCCAGCCTGCAATTGACAATTTTATGAGAGATTCTGATCAAGTTAATAAAATGAGTTTATCTGACTCTCCACTGGCAGCAGGATCAGACACCAGAAGGAACAGGTTTAAATAAATTAGCAGATGAACCAGATGGAAGATAAGGGAATGTTTTCCACTGTTCGTAGCAAGTTGACACACTCTGGAATGCATTGCTTGAAAAGGGTGGCGGTGATAGCAGATTCTCCAGTGATTTTCAAATGGGAATGGGATATAAGCTTCAGTGGAACTGTTTTTTCAGCATGACTGGGGAAGAGCTATGAGAGTGAGGGGCAGAACAACCACTATGGCCAAATGGCCTTTCTCCATGCTGTAAGATTCTGTGAAGTTAGCCCTGTCACTGGTGGATAGCGTTGTTAAGAATGCGTACAGTATGTTAGGTTTTATTGGTAGAGGGATTGAGTTTCGGAGCCATGAGGTCGTGTTGCAGCTGTACAAAACTCTGGTGCGGCCACACTTGGAGTATTGCGTACAGTTCTGGTCGCCGCATTATAGGAAGGATGTGGAAGCATTGGAAAGGGTTCAGAGGAGATTTCCAAGATGTTGCCTGGTATGGAGGGAAGGTCTTATGAGGAAAGGCTGAGGGACTTGAGGCTGTTTTTCGTTAGAGAGAAGAAGGTTAAGAGGTGACTTAATAGAGACATACAAGATGATCAGAGGATTAGATAGGGTGGACAGTGGGAGCCTTTTTCCTCGGATGGTGATGGCTAGCACGAGGGGACATAGCTTTAAATTGAGGGGTGATAGATATAGGACAGATGTCAGAGGTAGGTTCTTTACTCAGAGAGTAGTAAGGGCGTGGAATGCCTTGCCTGCAAAAGTAGTAGACTCGCCAACTTTAAGGGCATTTAAATGTTGGATAAACATATGGATGATAATGGAATAGTGTAGGTTAGATGGGCTTCAGATTGGTTTCACAGGTCGGCGCAACATCGAGGGCCGAAGGGCCTGTACTGCGCTGTAATGTTCTATGTTCTATGAGATACAACTGCTATTCCAGTATTAACTGCAGATTGTTATATCAAAAAGCTCCTTGAAATTTGCACAAGCTGGATTCTACACTCATTATATTTTTCCCTGTGCATTGTGTCACTTCATTTATCACACTGCTGTCACTATAGCAGAAAATCATTTTCTTTTAATTTTACATTCATGCAGCGAAGCATCCCCTGGTTATAGTGAACCTGTCACTCATGTTTTTCTGAGACTTTTAACTCTGCTTAGTCTGGGTATAATTATGTGTGAATTCAGTATTTTGATTGAGAACCAAATCAGAAATTTAAAAAGAAAATCATTATTATTTCAATGGTGAGCTGTCAGATAAATTCAAGTTTTTTATTTTGTTGTTAAAACTGAAGTTTGTGGGCTAGAAGTGTACAGTTTGTGGACACTATTGATTTTTATACAAAAGATAAGAGGAAAACTATATCAGACAAAGAGACTTGTTGTGTATCCATTGTTGGTGCTTTACCTAACCTGTGAATATTTAGAGTCATAGAGTCATAAAGTCATACAGCACAGAGACAGACCAATTGGTCCAACAATCCATGCCGATCATAATGCCAAACTAAACTAATCCCACTTGCCTGCACTTGGGCCATATCCCTCCAAACATTTCTTATTAATGTATTTATCTAAATGTCTATTAAATATTGTAATGGGACCCACATTCACCACTTCCTCTGGAAGTTCATTCTACACATGAACCACTCTCTGTGTAAAAAAAAATGCCCCTCATGTCTTTTTTGAATCTTTCTCCTCTCACTTCAAAAATATGCCCACTAGTCTTCATATCTCCCACTCTAGGGAAAAGACATCTGTCATTCACTCTATTTATACACCTCATCATTTTATAAACCTCAATAAGATCACTTCTCAACTTCCTACGTTCCAATGAACAAAGTCCCAGTCTATTAAGCCTTTCCTTATAACTCAAACCCTCCATTCCAGGCAACATCCTGGTAAATCTCCTCAGAGCCCTCTCCAGCTTAATAATATCCTTCCTATAACAGAACTAGACACTGTACTCCAAAAGAGGCCTCACCAACGTCCTGTACAACCTCAACATAACATCCTAACTCCTGTACTCAAAGATCTGAGCAATGAAGGCAAACGTGCTAAATGCTTAATCATCCTATCTATATATGATGCAAACTTCAAAGAATTACACTACCCAAGGCCCTGCTTTTAATTGTACAAGTGTTGCTTTCGTTTGTTTTACCAAAATACAATATTTGAATAAAAGGAAAATACTCCAGATGCTGGACACATGAAACAAACTCAGTGAATGCTGGAGAAACAGTGTTCTGAAGGAGAGGCATGTTGGACTCGAAACATTCTCTCTCCACCGATGCTATCTGACCCGCTGAGTTTCTCCAGCATTCTCTGTGTTTGAGGCAAATATTCGATTTGATTCTGTGCACACACTGGGCAGCATTTCCTACTCTGCACACGAATGTAAAATTCAGTGGGTGTGAAAATCAGTAAAAACTGATTCTTACAGAATCTGGCTTTCACTGGAATCTGCTTCCTTTTGTTTCTCACAGGCGAAGCCGAAGGCAAGATGTACGGCACGGGAACCCAATCAGGCAGTGCCGAGGTTACAATTCCAACGGTAAGTAGGGAGAGATTTCCTTACCCTGAAGGAGGCATCTATCATATCACTCCAAACATATAGTGAATGTTAGGCACTGAGTGAATGGTTCACAGGGTGAGTTTGAGACACAGACAGCAAAAGTGCTAGAGAGGTATGCACGGGCTGGGAGAGTTAGAGGACTACCAACAGCCAGAATTAGGGATACGGACTCAAGCGATTACACAAGCAATCCGGAGAAACGTACATGAGAGATCCAGAGAGATATACCCGAGAGATTCAGAAAGAGGTACACCAGAGATCCAGAGAGAGGTAGATGAGAGATCTGGAAAGATGCACACAAGATTTCTGGAACCTAAGTTGTCAAGACTCTGCCTTTAGAATGGATCTAAGCAATAATAAATAATGTTTATTTTACCAGATTGCAATGGAACGATCTAATTACATATGCGTCATTTGACCAGCTTGTTCTCATTAGGGATAACCGGGCCTCTTTCACAATAAATTGACACCAAAGCATGAAGTTCCTGTCAGAGTGTGATACATTGCCTGTGTTTATTTAACTGAAGTGTTTCCCTCTGTTTTCTGATGGAGTGGCTGGTTTCACATTGAGTCCTAACCCTGTGTTGGTTCATTGACAGCCAATAGGAAAGCAGCAGAGACGGAGCAGTATGGGGTAGAAGGCAGCAGCACATTCCTCGAATGCCAGCCCAAATCTCCTCAGGCCAGCATTAAGTGGGTGCTCCAGCGACATGGCAGTGAGCGTAAGAAAGAGGTAAATCTATCACTCACATTCATACCAATCAGGTCACCGTTAGAAGTTCAATCAACAAACCAACCGACCGACACTCTGACCTTAAGTATCTCCTCCCACTACGACATTGACAAACAAGGTTTTATTCTAACAAGACTTTGTCAGCTCATGCCTGGGCACTAAAGCTGTGGGCTCTAACCTGGCTGCAGTTAAATGTAAAAGTTACGTACAGTGTTGCAGGCCACTCAGCCCAACAGTTCAACATGAGTTCTTATGCTCTAAACAAACTTTCTCCCATTTTACTTCATCTTACCCGAAAAATATATCACATCTCCTTCTTGTACCAGAGCATAGCTTAATGCTCACCACCGGAGGTATGTTTGTAAGTGGGGGAGCATCTAATTGGGCAGGTGGGTTCCCTCATGGGAACCATATCACCTTCCTGACTCTACCTGATTAAGCCCATGGTGGGACAGTTCTTACTCGTTGCTGTTGCGTGGATGGTGACTGAGGCCCTTAAGTGGGGAAATCAATGCCCATGTGAGAGCCTTAGCTCACTGCCACTTGGAATCAAACAATGGTGGGCAGGACACTCAAAGACTATCACACTGTCACACTTCAAAATATACCTACCTGGCTGTAAAGTACGTTGGAATTGTGAAAGGTGCTATATAGATGCAAGTTCTCTCCTTATTACCACAGCCATAATGATGGCTGGGTGTCAAATATCAGGTGACCACATTGGATTTTGTTTTGGGCCAGAGACAACATTGAAAACACATGCCTGCATCGAAACCATCCACTTCCTGAGCTAGACTTGCCTTATGTTGTCACCAGGTTAACAAATGTCAATCAAAGCGCTTCCTTCCCTCTAGCTACTAATTCTCCCACTTCCACCAGACACCTCTCCCACGCCATAAACAGAACAGAAACTGCACTTTGTAGCCATCAGTGCTGTCAGGAAGTAGGACCTCCCCAGCTGACGTAGGCCTCCTGTGCTGACACAGGAACTTATCAAGCCAAGTCACTTTTGGCCCAAGAAGCTATCAGCTGCTGGGAAGTGAGTCATTTCAACCATGAAGCAGGGAATACTTCCTTTCTCATGAAAAGGGTGTTGCTTATCCTCCTTTGTCAACCAAAGCCAATGTCAAGTACCAGCCCATACACAACAGGGACAGGAAAGCTCTTGGTCAATTGAGAAGGCTTTAGTATTTTTTAAAAAGTTTGAAGCTTAACTCATTCACAGCAGTCCAAGTTGTGTGCGACATTCCACCACACACTGTGAAAGTCATTAAAGATCTTCACAGGAGTTAGTCGGCTGCCCAATATTGGTTAATCAAGCACACGCAGGCTAAAGATGCAGTGCTTCTTTGTAAAAACTGAAAGAACTGAGGATGCTGTAAATCAGGAACAAAAATAGAAATTGCCAGAAAAGCTCAGCAGGTCTGGCAGCATCTGTGAAGGAAAATCAGAGTTAAATGTTTTGGGTCTGGTGAACCTTCCTCAGAACTGTGCATGTATGTGAATGCATAGAGTACAGTAAATCTGATTGTGAGTTGCAAGGGCAGCTTGCCATGTGGAAATGTGATTTTGTGGCTACAACCCGAGACCAGGCTCAGGGAAGGGTAGGACTTGGGAGTTCAATATTCCTGGATATAAGGTGTTCAGGAAAGTTAGGAGAACACAAATGAAGGAATTTGAATGAAAGAATTGATTAAGGGAAGCTTTGCGATGCTAGATGTCTCAAAGGACTCAAGGACGAAATCACTTTGGTTAGCCTAAGGAACAAAAACGGCCTAATGGTATTATTGCTAGATTATTAATTCAGAAACTCAACTAATGCTCTGGGGACCGGGGTCTGAATCCTGCTGTGGCAGATGATGAAGTTTTAATTCAGTACAAATCTGGAATTAAGACCCTAATGATGACCATGAATCCATTGTCGGGAAAAAACCCATTTGAATCACTAACATCCTTTCGCAGAAGGAAACTGCCATCCTTACCTGGTCTGGCCTACATGTGACTCTAGACCCACAGCAATGTGGTTGACTCTCAAGCTGCCCTCTGGGTAATTAGGGATGGGCAATAAATGCTGGCCCAGCCAATGAGGCTCTGGACCCATGAATGAAACTTTTCTTAAAATTACATTGTTTGTTGTAGCCTACCGGCCAATAGGGAGCAAGGAGGGTGCAGAGGAACAGGCTAATCACAGAGAGGTGCCGGAAGTGAAATGTAGTTATAATGAGAGCGGGGGAGGTGTTTAATTATTGAAATATACACTGAGATAATGGTTATGCAAAGGAAAATAGGCAAGAGTTTCTAGGAAGGCTCTGAGGAAGGGTCACCAAACCCGAAATGTTAACTCTGTTTTCTCCTTCACAGATGCTGCCAGACCTGCTGAGCTTTTCCAGCAACTTTGTTTTTGTTCAAGTGTTTCTAGGATGAGTTCAGGAGAATTTTCTGCAGCAGAATGTTTTCAGTCCAGTGAGAAAGGAATTACTGATATACATGGCTCTTGGGATGAGGTGGGAAGCGGATGAAATGTCAATGGGAGAACCTTTAGGGAACAGTGGTCACTGCATCATAAGGACCAGGGTGACTATGGGAATGGATAATGAACAGTCCAGAGTAAGAATAAGTAATTGAGGGAAAGCGAACTTCAATTGGGTCAAATACATTGTGTTGGCAGGAAAATCAGTAGCTGCTCCTTCAGAAAAGAGATGATCTGAACACTGTATATATATATATATATGGTATGTTCCCTTGAAATGGAAAAGTAGGGCAAACAAATCCAGAGATCCCTAGATGACAAAAGAGGTACAAATTACAATAAAATAGAAAGTGCACTTTTGAGAGATAAACAAAATTGAGAACCAGGCTGAGAATGAAAGATTCAGAGGGGTGGTGAAAAGGCAGAGAAGAGAAGCAAAGAGGCCAATGAAAAGAGATTGGCAGCCAACATACAGGGGAATCTCAAGTCTTTTATAGCCATATAAATAGTAAGAGTAAGGATTACCTAAAGGGGATTTGCACGTAGAGGAAGAGGGCATGGCTGAAATATCAAATGATTCTGTCCTGAAGGAAGAAGATGGTTGTTTACCATGGTGATAAAGGAGGAAATGCAGTCATTAGAAGAGCTTAATATTGATAAGGTGGGGGCATTTATTGTAGTCGTATTTACAAAGGTTAATGCTGAGGAATGCATTAAGCACCGAACAGTATGATGATGCCACATAGCGGGGGATCTTGATGGTTGTCTGTTGGGAAACAGAGAGTAATGGTAAATGAGAGATAGTAGGAACGGTCAATGCTGGAGAATCTGAGATAACAAGGTGTAGAGCTGAATGAACACAGCAGGCCAGGCAGCATCAGAGGAGCAGAAAAGCTGATGTTTTGGGTCTGGACCCTTCTTCAGAAATGGAGTAAATGGATGTCTTTCAGGTTGGGAGGCAGGTGTGTGGAGGATTCCCCAAACTCATTGTTGGGACCATTGTATTTCCTGTTATAAATAAGCTATACCTTGATGTACAGGGCACAATTTTGGAAACATTGTGAACTATGAAGAGGATAGTGTAGAACTTCCAGAAGGACCTTGACAAGTTGGGGGAAGTGGGCGGACAAGTAGCAGATGAAGTTCAATGCAAGGAAATGTGAGGTGATTCATTTTGGTAGGAAGAACAATGTAAAATCAAGGCAATAGCTCTGAAGGGATGCAGGAGCAGAGGGAGTAGCGATGCATAAGTCATTAAAGGTGGGTATCAGGTTGAGAGTGTAGTTAATAAAGCATTGCAATAACCTAGTGAAACCTAATAAAACATTTTAATAAGAGATAGTAGGAACTGCAGATGCTGGAGA